TTTTGCAGTAGTGAGGATTGAATCCAGGGCCTTTGCACTGAGCTACATCCCCAGCCCTTTTTAATTTTTTATTTTCAGACAGGATCTCACTAAGTTGCCCAGGCTGGGTTAACCTTGTGGTCTTCCTGCCTCAGCCTCCCAGAGTGCTGGGATCACAAGTGTGTGACCCCATTCCTGGCTCAGGGAAACTCTTCTTTTTTTGGTACTGAGGAGTGAACCCAGAGCCTCCTGTGTTAGGCATGCTACCACTGAGCTGTATCCCCAGCCTTGTACAGGAAAATGGTTTGTTCTGCAGACCTGTCCCTTGCATTATGAGGGGCTCAGCTCCCTGATGACATCCCCACTAAAGCTCCCCTCAGAACATCTCTACACATTTCCATATGACTTCTCTTGGGATGGCATCTTCATGAACCACCTCCAAATAGGGGAGCCACGTGAAGGGAGGACTTTCTGCATTCTGATGAGCATGGCTATGGCCTAGGGACAAGGACAGGGCAGAGTGGGACGTCTGGAAGCCTGTGGCCCATGAAGAAGGCATCTGGCCAAGGTGTGGCTGGGCGAGCAGAGCCCGCTGCATTTCAGCACCTCTCAGTTGTTTGCTGTGGTTTGGGGTACGAGGACAGTGTGGTGCCTACTGGAGAGGAATCCTGGGCGCTTTGTGCACCCTGTTAATGGGATTAGCCTAGGGCCTGGCAGAATGGAGGAATTGATAGGCATGGAGGACTGTGCCTGGAATCAAAGAAAGAAGTTGTGGGGAGGGAGGAGAAGAGGAAGGCTTGAGTAGGGGAGAGCACAGTAAGGTTGGTGAGATTCCTCCTACTGCACAGGAACGGGCAGCGGTGACCAGGTCACCTGGATCCGCTGTGATCCTCCTGCCTCATCAGCCTCTGAGGGCTGGGATCCCAGGTGTGTGTCACAATACCCGGGAGGAAGTACGGATTTGTGAGGTATAAAGAAACACCTTAAAACCTCAACGGCCTGTGGGCCTGTACATCAGAAACCTTTAATGAATCCACAGGACCATCTCTGATCTTGCCTGTTCTTAGGAACTCCCTTGGGCTGGGCTAAGGAGGCATAAGCACGTGCTGGTGGCTGGCACTCCACAGTTCCCTGAAGAGCCTGTGTCCGAGTGTGGTGGGACATGGAATAGATGTGCCAGCAGGAGGAAGGAGGACCCCAAAGGAAGCCCAGACTCTATGTGATGTGGGCAGGTTTGCGGCCGTGACACAGAAGGTCGCTGTGTGCCCTTTGCATACTGTTTGGGTTTTGAATTGCCCCTTTACTCCTTGGCCCTCATGCCATTCTCAGAGCACCTTGCTGCCTGGCTGGCTCAGGCTGTGCCTTCAGCAGGTGGAGCTCAGCGAGTGCCTCCCCTCTCCCCTTTCTGGAACCTTCTTGGAGTGTACATGCTGTCTGAGTGGTGTTGTCTTCCCAGGAAATGCATTTCTTATATCTGCATTGTCTCTTTTTGTTCTTTAGTTGCATGGTGATGAATTTTGTCCTGTTTTGGATGCGACATTTGTAATGGTGGCTCGTGATTCTGACAATAAAGGGTAATTGCTATTTTTTTCTTAATGCTTTATTTTGAAGAATTTCAAAGATATGTAAAAGTAGAGATAAGAGTATAATGAATTTCCATATAACCATCACCTGGACTTAATAACATGAACATTTTTGCCAAATTTACTTCAGCTGTTTTTTCCTCTTAAGAAATAATATTTAAAAAAAGAAATACTATTTTAAAGCAGATCTCAGCTATAATGCCATTTTACCTCTAAATACTTCAGTGTAGACATCTTTTTCAAATGAGGATATTTGCATTTATTTACTAACACCAATTAATCTCACACATTAATGGGGTTTGGTGTGGTTTTTTTTTTTTTGTTTTATTGGTTTTGTTTTTGTTTTTTTTGGTACTGGAGATTGAACTTGGGACCTTGTGTTTGTGAGGCAGGTGGCAGAACCACTGAGCTAAATCTCCGGACCAAAAGAGGGTTTTAATTGCTGTATATATTGCTACCATTTTGTCCTTTTTTTCCCTAGGCCTTCTTGGTGTACCTGGCTAGGACATGTGTTAAAAACCTCATGAGTTTATATGGTCATTTCCAAGGCAAATTTAACCAAATAGACTTTACCTTGTTTGACTTTATATTTTCTCTTTTTTCTCTGAAATTGAATTCTTGGTTCCCAGTGAGAGTTCTGCCCGAGGCATCCAAACTGAGCACAGCTAACTGGAGTTGGGTGGGGCGGGAGGAACTGTTACTTGCTCTTTGCACAGGATAGAGCCTAACAGCCTGTGGGAAATCTCATTTGTATTAGAAACTTGATTTAGGAGTTAGCATGAGAATTCTTTTCTGTGATATGCAAAGCTTACTTGGAAAACCAAGTTAAGACTGAAAAAATATCTTGATGACTCTGATCCGAGCAAGGAATTGTCTCTCGCTCCTCCTTCCAGCCCCTGCTGACCAGTTGGCCCTTGGCTCCTTTTCAGCCTCTGAGGCTAATCAGACCTTTGGATTCTTTTTTTAAGGATATTTTATTTATTAATTTATTATTATTTTTTGAGACAGGGTCTCAAAGTGTAGTTCAGGCTGGCCTTGAACTCACTATGTAGCCCAGGCTGGCATTGAACTGGCACAGTCCTCCTGCCTCAGCCTCCTGAATACTGGGATTACAGGCATGTGCCACCACACCTGTCAGACCTTTGGATTCTGTCACTATGAAGTACCCTCTTTTCCCTTATTTTATTTTATTTTTTTGGTACCGGAGATTGAACTCAGGTCCTTGTGCTTGAGAGGCAGGTGGTGGAACCACTGAGCTAAATCCCCAGCCCGTTGAGTTTTTGATGCTTACAGAAAAGTAGAAAAAATAATGTAACAAACTCAGATTTCTTCACCTGAATTCACCCATTAACTTTGTACCACATTTGCCTGACTCTATTGTCCTTTATTTTTTTGTTTGTTTTTTTTGGTACTGGGGATCGAACTTGGGACCTTGTGCTTGCGAGGCAGGTGGCAGAACCACTGAGCTAAATCCCCGGCCCTGTTGTCCTTTATTAATACACACATATCCACAGTTTTTTTCAAATCATTTGCAAGTAAGTTTGAGACTGCTTTACCCATTAGTAGTTCAGCATGTATCTCCTGAGAACAAGGTAATTCTGTATTACCTAAATGTCTTTATTATATCCAAGAAATTTAACAATATTACTATTAGTTACATTACCTAATACATTGAACTGTGGAGTTACAACTGGCCTGACATATGAACAACTTGAGTTATGATTGGAATTTTAGTTTTAACTTATGAACAGAGTTTTGAGTTATGAGCCAAATGCTGGCTGTTTGTACTTCCAGATGGTCTCAGCTACAGATTTAACCCTTAAAGAATTCTGGAAGGAACATTACAACATCCTTTCCTGTGTGGGGTTAATTGAGAAATCCTGGGCCAATGTCTCTAAGGACACTGAGATCTGCCTGTGTACAGGAGAGACTTTGAAGGTTGTGTGGAGGAGCCTGAGCTTGCATTAATTAACTTGAGTTACAACCCCCCCCCTCTTGAGTGAATTGAGTTTGTAAGTCAAGGGTCCACTATATGTGATCCATATTCAAATTTTACCAGTTTTTCTAAAATATCCTTTATAGTGTTTTCCTTGATTCGGGATCCAGTCAAGGATCTTGTATTGCGTTTGCTTATATTCCTTTAGAGGAGTCCCCTTGCCATTTTCTCTTTTAAGTTTTTTATTTTTTTTTTTGAGGCAAGGTCTCACTATGTAGTTCAGGCTGGCCCTAAACTCATTATGCAGCCAGGCTGGTCTCAAACTTGTAATCCTAGTGGGCTGGGGATTTAGCTCAGTGGTTCCGGGGCCTGCCTTGCAAGCGCAAGGGCCTGAGTTCGATATCCGGTACCAAAACAAAACAAAACAAACTTGTAATCCTCCTGCTTTGGGCTCCCTAATGCTGGGATTACAGGCATGTGCCACCACACCTGGCTCTGGCATTGACATTTTTGAAGGGTCCTAGCCAGTTGTTTTGTAGAATGTTCTACAATTCATACAGTATTTGTTTCCTTGTGATTAGAATCAAGTTAGGCTTTTTGGTAGGCACCAGTATCCTCTTTGCAATGTGAACTTTCTAGTGTACTGATAAGTTTATAACCAGAAGGCTCTGTTAGTTGTTCCAGTGCTCATGTGTAAGGTACTGAGTAAGAATTACCCCAAATAAATGACAGAGTACTTTAAAACTAGTAATTGTGGATGTTCAATTTTTAATAGATAATGGTACTTAAACTGAATTTTTTTTTTTTTTAGGCCAGCATTTGTAAATCCACTCATCCCGGAAAGCCCAGAGGAGGAGGAGCTTTTTAGACAAGGAGAATGTAGATTAATTTTTTTATACTAAAAGAAAATCTAAAAGCACATTAATTATACTTCAGAAGAGATTACTTAAGATTATAATGGACTCTACATACCAGTCAAATGTCTTACTCATGCCGAGAATTTATTGAAAGTAAAAGTACCTTTTTTTTTGTTCCTTGGAGTCCATAGTTTGAGCAGTCTCACTGATCAACGTTCATTAAGTGAATTGTTTTCTCATTCTTACCGAAATGGGGAATGTCTACGGGATTACTGCTCGTCAGGGCCGTAGATGAGGGTGATACCAAGTGGTCTCACATTGAGCCAACAGCATCCCCAGCTGAAAGCAAATACTCATGGGAAATGTGTGGGGGGGTGCTGGGGTTGGGATCCAGGGCCTTGTACATCCTAGGCAAGGGCTTACCACTGAACTATACTCTGAGCCCCTCACTGGGAATTTTCTATGGCCTCTGCTGCCTTCTCATGGGACTTTATAGGCTCTGGGGCTCTTGGAGCAGCCTGCCCTGTGCTGTAGTGTGATCTGCTGCTCACGGCTCCTTCCTTTTTCTCCCGTGTTCCAGTGAACAAGGGGAGGAGGATTGCCTTCAGCTCCACCTCATTACTGAAAGTGGCGCCCAGTGCCCAGGAGAGGACCACCATACACGAGATGTTTCTTAGCACACTGGACCCAAAGTAAGTTAGGGTGCCAAGAGTTTAGGAAGGCATTTAAGCTTTGGCCTTCTCCAGAGCCACACTTGCCTGAATATATTGAGAGTTGTTTGCAAATTTTTCTTTCTCAGCAGTGAAAACCTGCTATTAACAGAGTGTGATTAATCTCCACTTGTACAGGACTATAAGTTTTCAGAGTCGAGTTTTACCACCTGGTGCAGTGTGGATGGAGACTACAAAGCTGAAGAGCTTAGAAGTTTGCCACCCTCAGGTATTGGAATCGTGGGACGTTGTCTGAATAGGCTGGCTTGCCTTCATATTTGTCCAAGATTTGATGTGCCTTTAAGCTCACCTCTTTTCTGCAGAACTGTTAATTCCTTTGTTCTGTGCATGATGGTCGCCATTAGATGGCATTTATTAATACTTATTTATATCCTCTAGGAGCGGAACATTTTCAATCGGATCTTTGGTGGTTTCCTTATGAGGAAAGCATATGAACTGGCATGGGCTACTGCCTGTAGCTTTGGGTGAGTTAGATTTAAGGCACCTTTAACTTCTGTGAAGCAATTTGTGCCACTTCCCTGAAAGGAAACATTTTAGACCAGTCTACCTATTTTTGGGAGTACCGTGTGTTATTTATTTTTGCAGTGCTAGTGGTTGAACCCTGGGACTTGTTCATGCTAGGCGAGTGCTATACTCACTGGGCTCCATCCCAGCCAGGAAATGGACTATATTTGCACACCAATACCAACTGGGTCTGACATTTCCTTTGAGAAGAGAAACCCACTGAGATAATAGGAAGAGAATTTGCAGAAGGGAAAAGAGAGAGTGATTTTGGCCCTTTGCAGTCACATGCAGCATCTTTTCCCATTCATCGCTGGTCTGGTCATTTCCTCCCTTCTCTGAGTTTATTCTTTGCTCATTTCTATTTTCATTTAGTTGAGTGTTAGGGGGAAATTTGAGACCATTTGAATTTTGAACTTCAGTCTACCTTTCTTCAAATAGTGGTTCCCGACCATTTGTGGTAGCAGTGGACGATATCATGTTTCAGAAACCTGTTGATGTTGGCTCCTTGCTCTTTCTGTCCTCGCAGGTAGGTGTGATAATAGATGAAAAATTATTGAGTTTTTCATTCAGATCTAGAAGAGAGGTTTCCATTCCGAAGTTGCTGTTTCTCTTATGACTGCCTTTTCCCCTTGGCAAATACAGTTGGCTAACTGGTGTCTATAATCTTAGGTGTGCTTTACTCAGAACAATTACATTCAAGTCAGAGTACATAGTGAAGTGGCCTCTCTCCTAAGTAAAGAGCACACGACCACCAATGTCTTTCATTTTACCTTCATGTCGGAAAAAGATGTGCCCTTGGTTTTCCCCAAAACATATGGAGGTAAGCAGCCATGGTTGGGTTTCCCTGATGAAGGGAAGACATTCTAAAGAAAACTTTTCCTTTATTGGTGGGGGGCAGTACTGTATTGGGGATCAGACCAAGGGCTTTGCATGTCCTAGGCAAGTGCTCTACCAGAGAGCTACATCCCTTTTCTCGTTCTAAATTGCTACAGGAAGGTTATCTATGCCTGTTGGCCCAAGAAAAGAATGTATCTTTAGGAGATTTTGCTTTTGAGGTTCTGCAGCTCTGAAAGCCAAAGATGCCTCCGGGCTTCAGGCAGCTGTTAACTGGTCTGCCCACCTGACTGTTGTCTGCAGGGCTGGTGCCAGCAGCCACTGGTCGTTCAGGACCAGTCTAGCCAGAGGAATTGACAAGAGGCGTGGCCCACTGCCTTGGGAATGCTGCATCCCAGCAGCTCAACAGCACATCCCTGTTGCTGGTTTCACCTGCTCATTACTGTCCCCATGTTCTCAAATGGTTGATTTTATGTGATTTTCCTAAGTGCTGAAAATTTTTCCAGGGTTATCTTTCTTATGTTTCAGAGTCCATGTTGTATTTAGATGGGCAGCGGCATTTCAGCTCCATGAGTGCCCCAGTGACCTCGAGGAAGGGCCACCTTGTGGATCTCTAGGACACCTCCCTTCTTGTGAAGCAGCCTCCACCCACAGCGACTCGTCTCGCCTGATGAAGGCCAGAGCAGATGCATTGGCGTTAGCATTGCTTCTCATCCTCATAGGGAAGGAGAAAGCATTCAGCCTGTAGGGTGATCAGAGAAGCAGAATGAGCCGTGACTGGATGGGGCTGGGGGACAGTGTTATTAAATAATAAATCCTTTCAAAGCTGTATTCATTGTGAACCTGTCAGGCTGACCCTGTCTGCTAAAGGAATTAGGGTAGAATACCTGTTTACCCAGTTGGACGCATTCCTTTCTTGCTCATACTGTAACTGTCAGTATGCAAAGTTTCCTGCCAGGGCATTTGGAGGACATTCTTTTTTTCCCCCTTTTTCCCTGTGTAGTGGTGCTGGGAATTGAACCCAGGGCCTTCACCCTGAGCTATATCCCAGTCTTTTTTTTTTGAGAGAGAGACTAAGTTGCTCATACTGGGCTCCAACTTGCCATCCTCATGCCTCTGCCTCCCAGAATGCTGGGATAACAGGCATGCACCACCATGCCCAGCTTGGATGATGTTGTTTATGTTTATTTATTTTTTTGAGACAGAATCTCGCTTTGTAGTGCAGGCTTGCCTTGAGCTTACTATGTAGCCCAGGCTAGCCTGAAACTCGCAGTGATCCTCCTGCCTCAGCCCCCCGAGTGCTGGGTTTACAGGTAGGATGATGTTCTTTAAGCCTACAGGATTGTATTTTGCTTCCCTGTTTCTCAACTACTGTTGTTAGCAGAAGGCAGATGAAATATTGGGCTGAAGGGACTCAACATAGGATATGGCTCTGAAAGATTTGTGGGAACTTTAGGTCTGAGAATACCATAAAGAAGTATTCAGAAATCATCTCTGTGGAGAGACACAGGGCCATTTGTTCATTCTTTTATTCACTACACTGCCCTTCGGCGTGCTTCTGAGGGTGGGGCAGAGCACTTGCTATATGCTAGGGAGGCACCCTCCTCATTACTTGATGGGAACTTTTTTATTTTTAATAATTCTCTTAATTTTCAGATTCTTCACACCCTCACAGCTTTAGTGATCTCAGAAATTAAACATTCTTATACTTTTCCACCAAAATGAGAAGAAACAGTAGCAGTACATTGTAATACCACACAATTTTTTACTATTTTTCTAACAAAAAGGAATACCTGGTATAACAGCAGAAAGTCTAAAAATAGAGAAAATATATCTTAAAACTTTAGGAAGACTTCAGGCAGACAGCTAAATATGTAAATTCTAAATATATAACATCAGCAACTCTTTTTCCCTCTTGGGTCATGAGCTATTCCAAAAAGGTTTAAATAGAGAAACTTTAATGAGTTTCAAGTGTGTATCCTAAAATATAAAATGAAATTGCTTTGAAAAGGAATATTGAGCTGGGTGTGGTGGCACACCCTTGTAGTCCAAGCACTCAGGAGGCTGAGGCAAGAGGATTGCTGTAAGTCTGAAGGCAGCCTGAACTACATAGAAAGACCCTGTTTTTTTTTTTATAGGAATATTGATTCAATAAGAGAGTCTGTTTTAGGTATATTTGGTTTCTGATTATACTTCATATCACCACAGTCATCATTCAAAGGGCAATCACTTTTTTCCAAAGGGGAAGCTGAATTTTAAGTTAGCACCCAGTTGTCCCCATAATTTCCCAATCAATACTGATATATATGCCATCAAGTATGCAAAGATTAGCAGAATCTCAGTTTAAAAATTTGGAGAAAATTATTTTAAAACACTAACAAATGTAAGCTAGAATTAGCTCTAGGCTATTTGGTCATAGTTTTACATTAAAAGGATGGATGATTAGACACCAGTGGAAAGTTTTGTTTGCTAAAAGTTTATATTAATGAAAAAAGATCATTAGTCTCCTAAGAGAAATTTCACAAAATGAAACCACTGCCTTCTGATTTAACTTTCAGACTAAGAAAGGGCAAACCCCGTATATCATACTTTTTTTTTCTGTCTGTAAACAAAAGTCAATATAAATGGTACTACGAGGAAACATGAGTGGTTATGTTTCAGGTTCCACAGCATAGTATAGTGTGGTGTAGCTCTCCCACCATAAATCTCTTGTGTTTCTGTTGTGGCTTTTCCTTTCCTTGGCAGTGCTGGGGATGTGACTCCTGGCCTCATGCATGCTAGGCAAGTGATCTACCACTCAGCTCCAGCCCAGCCCTCTTTATTTTTTTGGTACCAGAGATAAAAACGCCAGACCTTGAGGTGGCAAGGCAGGCGCGGTGCCACTGAGGTAATCCCCAGCACAGCCCTCTTATGTTTTCAGTACTGGCGATTGAATCCAGCACCTCATGAAAGGTTCTGTCACTGAGCTACATCTTAGCCTTCTTTTTCTTGTTTTTTTTTACCCCCTTGGTGGTGCTGGGCACTTTGCACCTTTATCCATCTGTTTCTGAAGTTGTATTGCAAATAAGAAGTGCTCCAAATTTATTAGTTTTACGGTAAAGTTTACTTCCTAGGGAACCAAGGAAGATGGGAACATCTCCCTTCTCTAGGCTGAAAAGCATGGATCTGTGTGAGTGCTTCAAAGGAAGCCGCTTGGCTTTTTCTTTTGGAATTCGCTTTCCCGATCAGGTGTTGAGGCTCTCTTTTCTTTTTCAGCGGCAGCATGTCCAGTTTTCTGGGTCACTTGATACCGCGTTCCTCCTCTGTTTTCCCACCAGGGTTAGCTTCTCTAGAGTAGGAACCCCTTGTGTTGAGTCTCAAGCATGACACCTAATTCTGTCGCTGCAGTTTGGTTTTGCTTGGACTTCTTCAGTATTTGTTTGCGCTCACATTTCTCTGGTGACAAGGTTGTAACTAGACCAGATTTTCTGGACTTTGAAGAAGCTGAGATTCCCTTCCTCGTAGGAACCCTCAATGTTAGCTTTCTGGCCTGTTGCGCATTTGCAGCTGTTCGGTCTCCAGTGGCTCTTCTCCTGCTTGGGGAACATTCCTTCCTCTTTGGCCAATAACCTCTGCACTTGTCACTAGCGTTGTCTTCCTCCCACTGCCAGCCGACTGTACTCTGCCCCATCCTGCGAGTCTCCTCATCTCCCCTTCTCACTCCCCCAGGGTGACTTAACTGGGGAACTGACCAGCTGACAGATTCTTGCCTGAAGGCTCTGGGCCTGCATTCCTTGGGACAGTGGTTTGGAATTGTCCCCCACAGTTCCATCCTCATGATTGACTATGTGCGGCCCACGAAGCGAACCATGAAGTGATCGGAGGGGGCAGAAGGGACAGCATTAATTTGCCTTCTCCACGATGACCTTGAGGTAGGGCTCACATACTGTGGTTACAAGGGAGGGTTACAGGCTCCATTGGGATCTCCAAGCAGATGGAGCACTGGCGAGGGACTAGGAAGGCAGAGCATGCTTGGGCGTGCCCATTCTGGGGTGGAATAGGATTATTCAAAGTTGGTGCTCCTGGAGGCCTCGCTCTGCTCTGTTCCCTTCTCCCTCTGCGCTGTGCTCTGGGAGGGAGGCTACCCGTGACTCCCAGGAACCAAGGTCAGCTAGCAGATGCTGCTTCCTAATTGGCACATGCCCCACGCCGCCCCGCCCTCAGAGCTGTCAGCTCTGGCCCCAACGCTACCCCTCTGGCTTCAGGCCAGATCCAGAAATCTGTTTTCTGGTCTCAGAGAACAAACCCTGAACCTTCACACTGAGCTAATCTCCAGCATCATGCCTTAATTTGGGGGGGCAGAGGCAAGATCTTGCTACGTCCCTCAGTTGCTCAGGCTGGTCTCACAAGTTGGGATCCTCCTGGTTCGGACTGCCAAGTATCTGGGAGGAAAGGTGTGAAGCAATGCTCCTGGCTGTTCTTCCTGACCCCACCCCACCCCACGGAGTCTGGGGCTGTAATTCAGTGATGGAGCACTTGCCTAGGAGGCCCTGGATTCCATGCCCATATCACAAGGGAAAAAGGAGTTGACTTCAGCATTCTTGGCACACGAGTGTGTCCTCATGTCGTGGTGGCCTTTTCTGTAGGAATTCCATATTCCCTTGGGTACCTGCATTCTCTCTGCTCTCACCTCTGCTTTCTCTCACCTCTCTCTTTTATTTTTGTTTTTTGTTTTGATTTTCTGAGACAGAGTCTTGCTAGGTAGTCCAGGCTGGCCTCGAACTCACCACATAGTCCAGGCTGGCCTAGCACAGCAATCCTCCTGCCTCAGCCTCCAGAGTACTGTCAAAATTTAATAATGTTATATACTTGAGCATGAAAATATCTGGAAGGAATTTGAGATTGTTCGATTTACAGAACCTTTTGGCAACTTGTATGTTCATGAAATGTGACACAGACTTGGCAAAAACCGGTTACACAATGTCATTAGAATCAAATAAGACGATCTCTACGAGTAATAGCTGTTGGATTCTTGCTGTGTCAGGTACTGTGCTGATGATATTATGATTTATTCTCTTACAGTAGCTCTTTGAGGTCAATACCACGATCACCCACATTTTGCAGGTGAGGAGCCTGAGGGTTAGAGAGGAAGAGGAGCTTCCCAAAGTCCACCATATAAATGTCTAAGTGGGTTAGGCCCAGACTAAGTCTAGAATCCTGCTCTTTTGCCTCATTTCTTACATATTTTCTCTGCTGTTAGGGTAGTGTTATTTAATGCCATATATATGTATATATATGTTTATGTACACAAACATACATATATAATGCGTTTGGGCCTCAAGCATAAAAGGTTGGCTGAAATATTTTTGGAATTTGTTTTAACTTCTTAAAACTTTTGCTACCATTGTGATTGACCTGAAGAGACCTGTGAGTGTTTGCTTCCCCCTTCCTTGGTAATAAATAATGAATTTACTATAAAAGAGGTAATAAGAGAGAATAATTAAAAATAGGGATTTGGACCTGGCATATACCTCTAATCCCAGTACTCTGGGAGGCGGAGGCAGGAGGGTTGAAAGTTCAAGCCAACCCGGGCAACTTAGTGACTTAGGAAGATCTTGTCTCAAAATAAAAAAATAAGAACAGGGGCTGGGGATTTAGCTTAGTGGTTCTCCCGTCTGCCTCAGAAGCGCAAGAACCTGAGTTTGATCCCTGGTACCAAAAAAAATAGAACAGGTTGAGGATATAGTTCAGTGTGAAGGCTCTGGGTTCAGTCCCCAGTACCACACACACATCCACACACAGTAATAAGGATTTGGCAAGTTCAAAAATGGACTCAAGTAGTTCCGCCACCTACCTTGCAAGCGCAAGAACCAGAGTTCAATCTCTGGTACCCCCCCAAAAAAAGTCTATTGGGCCAGGCATTTAGCTCAGTGGTTCTACCGCCTGCTTTTGCAAGCACAAGGTCCTGAGTTTGATCCCTGGTACAAAAAAAAAAAAAAAGGGATTCAAGGGCCCTTAGCTATATTTGCTTCTAGGTG